ATGGAGGGGAAAAACTTGTCTGAAGGAAGAAAATAAGTGAGAAGAATATGAAGCAGAGATACTGTTCAAGATAACATTAACTAGTCTGATCATGCATGGAACAGACAATCGAAAGGTGAATAAAAGGCTGTTCAGCATCTCAAGCACACACTAATCTCGTATGGACTAACTGCATTTATTTCTTCTTCTGTCTTTCCATTTCCTCCATCAACCATCTTTCTTTTTCAGTGCCTCCGTCATTATTTTCCTCACTTAAGTAACACTTCTCATTCTTTGTCTGCTCCTCTCTCTCCCTTTTTTTCTCTCTCTCTTTTTAGCTCAATCTGAAATATTACCCAGCATGCTCAGGGTGCTGCTTGTTCAGGTTAAGTACTAAGCGGACGAATGGCCCTCGGGACGTCATTTTCCATTACAGAGACAAGAAACCTTTTCTTTGAGAGGAAGGAGGGGAAAATAGTTGGAGACCTGAATTGGTTATGCTCCTTGTCGTGTTCTCTTTCTCTCCTGACTTGCAATCCGTTTATTCAATATTTAATGCCAGCGTCGCTCAGTCCATGGGCTTGATCTCTGCGTCTTGCCTGATCTTTCCCATCCACTCCCAAGCTGCACACAGCTTTGCCACTAAGTTCATATGAGTCATCATGCAGCGCTGGGTAATGGGCTTCAGTCTCGCACACTTTGAACTTCATTCTTCTACATTGCAAGCAGAAAAACAGGTCTGCTATGTCTGATTCTAATATGATCACTGAAAAGTCTATCAATGAGCACATCTTCCAGTTCGCCACAAGTCTACAATGATGCCCATCAATATGCTCAGTACCCCCATACCATATCATGGAAAACTGAACCTCATTTCTTCTTTTTAAAAGAGTTTTAGTATGTAAACACTGTTACAGTTTCACTTACCATTCACGACCCATTCATACAGTCCATATATGAAAATTAAGCAGCTTGTGCGAATCCACTGTGTTTATGATGTCACGAAAGCCAATACACTTACATCTATGTATCTATTCAGCCCACAGCACTTTAGCCACGCCCACTTTTGTTGAAGTAACAGGCTATGTTCACATTAAGATTTTTTGCTCAGAGTCTATGGGCCTCATTCACTAACCTTTCTTAAGAAGAAATTTCTTCTTAAAACCCACTTACACAGTTTTCTGACATTCACCAATGTTTTCTTATTTGGGATTTGTTCTTAGGTAAGAACAGAATCTACACTCTCAAGAACACAAAGGTTTGAACAATTCTGTGGTTTAAGAACACATCACGAATCTGACGTAGACTTTTTCACAGGATCTTCCTCAAGAACAAATTTAAGAAAAAACTTACAAAGATATTGGTGAATGAGGCCCGATCTTTCTAACTTGATGGCTCACAACTGTGTAGGTAAGTGACTCAAATAACGTCATGTGAATGAAACATGCATCATGAACAACAAACTAACCAGCAGAACAAGGCTTCGCTGTGAAGATAATTTGCTCTGAACAGCTCCTAGCTTTTTATTGTTAGGTCAAAAAAGGGTCAGATTCTTGCTTTTGCTATGCTGACTGGCTCTAATTACAGGTGTGGCATTGCCATGTGACTGTGAATGCACAGTGAAAAAAAAAAAACACGATAAAAAAATCCCCAAATGAATTCCGATCTCGTTAAGGTCGCATGGCCACAAATCAGACAGGTATCCGATCTAGGTCCACACAGCTCTAAAACATCAGGTCTGTGTCACCTTAAGGCAAAAACTGGATTTGTGCCACTTCAGCCTGGTAATGTGAACTAAGCCGTAAGGAGTGTTTCAGTCCGGACTGCTTTTAAATGAGGTGCAATACAGGGCAGAATAGAGGCCACTTAGATACATCAGTCTTTAAGACACAAAAACAAAAACAATTCTAAGGGATAAAAAGGTTGGGAAATGTTTAAGGGAAAAAATGGTCATGTAAAAATGAATTACTATTGTTTTTGGTACATAAACCCACAGAAATGTCATAAGTGGGCCACAGGGGAAAATACAATAAAAATGTATGATATGGGCACTGTGTGGTAGCATAAACAGACATAAACTAGGGGTAAGAATCAGTGGTAAAGACTGAGGCAGACCCTAAAATTCATGCTCGCCCTGAACGCAAGAGCAACATGCTCTCCCCTCTCTGAGCCTATGTGTCAAGGAGAGCGGAGCTGGGCCGGTAGTATTTTTCTTCTTTAAGCAGGGCAGATGGGCCAGGCTTTGGCCAGGCAGGTCCAGGCTGAGCCACTGTCCAGGCCAGACTGTCTTAATTAGGAGCTGGCGGCCGGCAACGGCAGGTGAACACATCTGGGAGGCCATATTGGCCGCAAGCGCAGCAGGTCTTGGAAATAGTGCAAGCCCAGGAATATCTTGAAGGAGCAAAAACAAGTGAGCAGATTTTTGCCCCCTGCTGTTTTTTCTGTTTTTTTTTTCTTCTTCTTCTTTCTCACCTGAATGAAAACCCAGAAGTTAGCTGTAATATATCCACACAAACGACGCAGTGTAAAGGTTCATCACCATAGCAGCATGCCAGATATTAAAAGCCTCTGTCATGGGAGGCTTGCGCTCGTCTTGTGTGGTGCCAAGACCTAAGCAGCCCCAGAGTGCTATCAATTACACATATTCTGCTGAAAAGCTGAAATTGGGCGGTGACAGCCAGCTGACAGCATTCAGCATTATGCAGCCATCCATGTGAGGCCAGCGACAGTGATTGGACAATACCTCCTCACCTGCCCCCCTCGTTTTCACCAGCAATGAAGTGGGGACCCGTCACACCATTCCACATGCAAGCCAAGTATCTAAAACACCTCGTAATGAGGACTCATCCCACTCTCTCTTTCTCTCTCTCACACACACACACACACACACACACACACACGAGCGCAGATCGCTGCGCACTGTAACTCTTAGTCCTGTCAGCCAGTCCGCTTCAGTCCGCCCTGCCTTCTTCATTAGCGCTTTAGCCAGCGTCATCATTTCTGCCTCCATAAACTCAATGGAGCTGCATGCCTCTCTCCTCCACTCACAGGGCACTCCTTTCCTTTCCAATTACCGCACCAATTCATTTATTCATTAAAGCACCATGGAAAATCGAGGGAGACCAAGTTCGAAAAACAAGCTCCCTCCATTTTTCTCCATTTGCTGGTGGTGCTCGATGTTTTGAACACATTAGAGAGACTTAATATGGTTAAGATGCAGTTTAGTGGATGTAGTGTGGTCTTGGGATGGGGATTGGATTACTGGGCCACAAGTCAGGATTAGTTAAAGCACTTTCCAACAACCTGCTCGAGTCCAAACGAAGGCAGTAGCAGCTGCCACGCATGGAACTGTTTGATTTCCAAAAATACAAATAATTACGCTTTTTCCTCTCGCAGCATATTGCAGAGGCAATAACTAATTTGCTTAATTTGTCTGAGAAAGCACATGGTCACAGCCCCCTGAATTAAAAGACAGCCTTTATAATTTTAAGTCAGCTCACAGCAACTCACAGCACTCACCACAATGCACTGTAATTACCTTCACTTAGACTGTAGACAGCACCTTGACTTAAATAAACTGAACACTTTGGCAAACTATACAGCTAAAAGGGGTTTTTTGTCTGGTTGGCATTCATAAGCAGATGTAAGTCACTTTCACACATGTGTATGTATCAGATCACTGTGAAAATCATCCAGTTTAAATACTTATTGACAAATAAGCGTCCTGTCAGAGCTGCCTCTTTAAAAGTGTCATTGAAACGTTCACTTCTGGTCAACAGCTCAGGTATGACATTCATGTTGCTCTACTGCTGTCATGCTGAAAAGCCGTGTAGACAGGCTGACATATTTTCACTGCATGAGACACCTTTGAAAATAACAGAATGAAGACAGCACACTGACAGAATTCTAAGTTGACATCTCAATACCCTGCCAAGCAAGTCTTAATCAGAGCTCATGGGGAACGCTGAATCATGCATGTGTTTTGTTAATGAGGCATTTTAAAAGATTTCACACAACCTTTAATCAACATTAGAGCTACTGTATTAATGCCATTTTCAGCTTACAGCATATTCTCCTCTCATCTTCGCTACTTTATGATATATTACATGCCCCCCACTGCGGAAGAACACAGGACAATGGCACGCACTGTAATGAAAAAGCTTGAAACAAGTGTTCTTGTTAATTTCTTAAATCTTCCGAAAATTAGCTGCTCTGAAAGAGGCGTCGCTGCAAACAATCATTTCATTTTCACTCCAGAGAGTAAGAGTCAGTCACAGCTCGTCTCTTCTCCCTCCTGCATACTAATCCCGTCTGACATATTTTCTGGAGGAAGACACAGCATCAATATTTATCAATTCATAATAAAACAGAAACTTATTAGGAGCCACTGACATGTGCTAAGATTACAGTCCAATTAAAACTTCATTACCCAACTCTTAATATTCAGTTAGCCTGGGCAGAGGCCTCACATGCCAATGCATGATTAAATCATTGTAAATTTACAACACTTTTTAACTCATTGGACCTTTGGAGAGTGAGAGAGACAATGGGGACGTGAGGTGAGGAGTGGAAGGAGAACATGACCTTGGCCTTCAACATTACTCTCAAATCCACTTCCACATATAACTTTCTACTAAACCAGGGACTCCTTACAGAGCAAACAGACCACAACCAACAGAACCTGCAATACCCGAAACTTAAACCCATACTGACAGAACATCTACCCCTAAACCACTCTTCAGTTCACTTAAGACATGCAGCAGTCCATGCTTGTCATATACACCGGACATACAATCCTGCTAATAAATATGTAAACTGCTATTTCTTGAGGTTATCACTGAGAATCCTCCTTCTAGGTCTGATCGTGTTAAAGAAAACTAATGGTGGTTTAGGATACAAGGCACTCAATCTGAACTACATTCCAATATCAAAAACAAGCCAAGCCAAATAGTGAGAGCCAAGTCAAAGTTTCTTAAGGAAATCTCACCCTGGATAAAAATGTAGAGCAGGCATGTACTCACCAGTCTTGTGACGAGGGGAACCCCAAAATGCCAGAAGTGATCGTTCAGCAGCCCACTGTAAACTACGTTTCCAAAGAGAGCAATGCTTCCGGATTTGCACAGCCCGTTTCCTGGTTTGGTTTCTGAAAGAGCAGAAAGACATTACAGTCAGACAACAATAGAGCTTATCTAAACCACTTCTGTGGACTGAGATAACGGGTTTAAAAAAAAAGAAACATACATACACAAACAGGGGACAACCTAATATAAACTAGTTCAAATAGAATGTGCTTTTGGTCACCTTGTGGAATTTTCACAGCTAACTTACTAACTAACACAGACTTTTTTCAAATTTCTGTCAGAAAAAAACTCGTATCTCCATTTGTGTCATTTTTTGAGTTTTTGACCTAATTTGAAAATGTCTGTTGCCCTTTACATTGTGTGTAAATTTCATGATGAATGGACCAAAATAACTTGGAAATAAGTCTGGTTCCACTGACCTTCATTAAAAGTATGTTTTTTCCTTCTCCTGTAAAGTTGTCATTTTGGACATACAAGGTGTTTGTATGTCATGTGTCAAGTGTTTATTAATTACTGCAATGTGTGTGTGTAAGAAAATTCACACTAATATTATTTTAATCACCCTCTTGGTGGGTGTAACACAGCACTATTTAGAAGCATGTACCCATCAGTGACAGCTCTCCATGCAGAGGCACAGTCTGCCTTAACAGGGTTGGGTTGATATTAACATGGAGCAACTAAGATGGCCAAATTAAACAACGACAGAAGACAATGTTCCCCTCATATAAATTCAAAATAATACATTTTTTTTTGAATATTTAATTCACATAATCATAAACTGCAAACACTGTATTGATGTTGTATTAATAAAATTTCAGCTTCATCATGCTAATATTTGTCCTTCTACTTACTGTCTGATACTGACATGTAGACTCTTGTCAGTAATTATATTTATTTTGATGCATATATTTTTAGGTATGTAGCTTGGAAAGCACAACATTACAGTGAATTGCTGATTACATCAAATTACTAGATTTTTCCAGAGAGTGGTACAACTAGCCCCTCAGTTCACAGCTGACCCTACATATAGAGTACATTCAGCTAAATTGCACACAAACGGCAGAAACTCAAAAGAAAGTTTTCATATGTCGATTGCACGTGTACTACAAAATAATAATCTTGAAAATATTAAAAAATACACCACAAATTTACCATTATACGCACCCTTCATCAGTCTTAAACACTGAAAACATGGCAGATATAGACTACAGTCTGGCATAAACATACATAGAATTAATAAAAACTGAACAAACAATAACAGAGCTGTAGTAAATGTAAAATATATACAAAGTATAAAAACACCAAAATAAATTCATGTATTACAATGCACACTGTATGCACAAAGTAGAGTATATTTTACAATTCTAGTGTCAAGTATATAAGAACATGTTTTATACATATGCAGGTGTTCTTATGAATTCCTGCACATTTCATTTTCTCAGTCTGCCTTACAGAAGTTTCTTCATACATGTGGAGTTAAATATTACACTCCATATCCATCCTATACAGCTGAAGCATTCTCTTTCTCGTTTTCTTTCCCTCCCTCACTCTCTTTTTTTCTCCATCTCTCACATGCATCTGCCCTGTCTGAAACAGGACCTGAAGAGAACACATAAAGGAAGCCATGTATATTAAATTATTCTCCATAAATGCCAAGTACAGCAAAAATCTGCATTGTGCCTCAAAACAACGGCGAGGCGCATATTGTGCGGTGCGCCACAGCAAGCCATGCATTCATTATTGAAAAACAAAAAGTAAAAAGGCCCATTAAAATGTCACTTGTGCTCTTTGTGGCTGGGGCGGCGCATGCGTTTTAGAGTTATTAATGGGCCTGGCGTGATTGTTTATGGTGGCTGCCTGCTGCAGGCTCGCTGGGCAAGACTGTAAAGTCCGTGTGGATCATTCGGCAGCAGGCTCCTGCACTGCTCTCTGCTATGCTTACATCACCCCATGAATATGCATGCCTATAGGCCATGCTCCAGCGAATCGATCACGGCTATAGTGCAGTTATATCTGTGCCACGTGGCTGATTTTTATAAAATGATATAGCCTAATTAGCAATAAAATCACTCACTGTGTGGTTCTTTTTCTTTTTTTTCCTCCTTTTCTTTTTTCTTTTTTTTTTTCTTTAGGGGGCAATGCATGCACGAGAGACTTTGGGCTGAGACAAAAGAGGTGCAGTATGATTCAGGCAATGTTCCTTTTTGTGCAGGTGATGTAATGTGATCAGAACATGCTGGGTTGCATCAGTGCCTGCAAGCAGAGTCAGGTGGCATGGCTGGCAGGCATGGCTTTGGAGGATGCCTCTAGTCTGAGGGCATTCTGTTCAGAACGCCTCACTGTGATGAGTTATTGACAGTGAGATGAGACCGCCGAGAGCAGAGCAGTACACACAGCGCAGCCCTGCTCCACACACACACACACACACACACACACACTCACACACACCGACTCCCAGATTTCTCCAGCAGCTTCACTTTTTTGCCTCACTCTCTCTCTACCCCTCTCCTCTTCACTCACTCTCCCTTTCTCTCTCATCACACTTCTTCTGTTTCTCATGCTCTCTGCCTTGCTCTCCCTCTCTCTCTGTCTCCCCCAGCCTCTGTGCTAACTGTGGTTTTGCTAGCTCTATCTATCGCTCTCCTTCAGATTGGCAAATTTGACAAGCGATTTTAAAAACGGAGCAAAATGTCAAAGTTGTCGTAAACAGCGTGTGAGGGGGAGTATTTTAGGTTTGATAAGCAGGCAATAACATTGTGATTTAAGACACAACAGTAACAGTATAAAAACAATAAGCAGACTAAGTGCACTAGCATCATCAGTATGCACTCTCTCACTCTCTCTTTCTCTCTCTCACGCACATAAAAGTTAGGATGATAGAAGCTAAAATTGTGAATGTGTTACTTAGGCCTCTTAGCGCTCTGAAGACTACAGACAGAACTGGGTTTCAGATTTAGTCCTTAACACAGCACAGTAGAAAAATATGATCATGAGATGAGAGTTCAAATTGCAGGCCTACACTGTTAGAAATAAAGGTTCTGTGCAGGTACATTTTTCATTCATCAAAGTACAAACAATGTAAATGTTCCCTCAAAGGTACAACTGTGGTTTAAAGTCCAACTGAGCAACTTAAATAAGTTTTTTCAGGTGAAAAGTACGTATTTGTACCTTTTCATAACCTAATGTTTTAAAACAGAGCAATAAAATAAAAGGCCTGGAGAGGAGAGGGGGCGTGTAGAGTCAATACAACTTACACAAGGTACTCAGATGCACCCTTGAGGGTACAAGAAGGGTACTGCCCCAGTGACAGTTTTGTTCCTTTTTTTTCTCAGAGTGTATGACAAGCTGATGTGAGTGAGTCTGCAGCTGGAGTGGTAACAGTAAAGCTGACAGATATATTGTTTGGTGACTGTTATCGCAACATTGGCTTTTGTAATACTGTAATACTGGTATTGCAAAAGACTCCAATATGAATATTTTAAAAGGCCCATATGCTACATTTTTTTATTATATGTTTGTTTTTATTTGTGTTTCTAAATATGTAACAATGTGTAAAAAACATTTTTTTTATTTTAAAAGCGAAGGAGTACCATCATCCCAATATGGTATTTCATCCATATCATGGAGGCCTTTGCATAAGGGCCTTAACCCCTGAGTTGGGATATGCAAAGAGATACGTTGTAATGTAGCAACTGGCCAATAAATCAGAAAATACACAAATGTTCAAAAAGAAGAAGAAGCACTATGTATATTTTACCCTACACTGTCAGAAAAGAGGTCCTACAATGGTACAATTTTGTTCACCTAGTTACAAACAGTATAAATATACCTTTGATCATTTATACTTCTTGTAACATTTTGTTTAAATATCATCTTCCAACGGTTTAAATATCATGGCCCAGCTGTGTATATTGAGTTTTAAAGGTACAACACATTCACAAGTTGAGGTGTCAGCAGTCAATGCAATTTTAAAAATTTGATTACAAAGTAATATGGTACAATTATGTACCACAACTAAAGGTACTTTAGATGTACCCTTGAGGGTACCACCCCAGTGACAGTTTAGTAGTTAGGAAAATATATGAAATTATCAACTTAATAAATATAAATAAAAAAAGAGCATTGTCTTCTTAAGATCATGAAAGAAATGCATTTGAACTCTGGTCTAACACAATTAGCATGTAGATGAGTTAAAATTAGGCTGCACCATATTTTATCCTCACTCATTATATCTTCGTAGTCATGCTGATAGGGAAAATAGGGTGCCCTAATTCAGCTTTTCCTTGCTTCATTCTAGACCTAACATAATTTGTTTGTTTGTTTGTGTATTAGTGCACACTGGTTCAGTTTACTCCTGAGCACAACTGTTACATTACAAACAGCCTTGACAAATAATGTTAGGCCTGCTGCTTTACTGCTCGGGAACTACTGAGAGTATGTGAAAAGAACCATTACATATACAGTTGTTTCAAAAGGCCCTAATAAACAGACAACAATGAAGGGGCCAACCGATGGACATTTTGCTGCCAAAATGCTCATTGGTGTTGTTCCTCTGAAAAACATGCCAGTCAGATGTGACCCTTCAGTGTATTGATCAAGATAGCATACACATTGTAAATTGATAAAAAAAAAAAATGTGATGGCACACATGGTTGTTCGCTGTAGGAAATCTCCTTAAGGCCATTCCAGGCCATTTTTTTTTCATTTATTGTCAGAACAACAGTAGAAATATAAAATTTCCTGAAAAGACTTTTTAATAAGTCTCTACTATCTGAGTCAAACTCATGATTTGAATGATGTGGTGGAAGATACTCAAGAACTCAAGATAATGAAATATCTAGGATTAGTGACTTTTTCTGTCTGAAAAAGATATCATTAAGAAGAAGCATTTTACAGGCTCATCAAGACAATGATATGATATGTTTTTATAGTTGAAAACATGAGTAGCATCCCTCATCACTTCCGAATGATGAGAAATCATACTATACTTGAAAGGAGGCCAGTTTTTAATCATATCTAATCACTGTCAGGCTGGTTAGGCCTGCTGAAGCATCCATGGCTG